CTGGCCTGCTCAGCAGAGGCTCTGGCAGGCTGCTCCCAGCGGGGATTCCAGGCTTCCCCGTGCGGTTCCCCGACCACGTGTACCTCGGACGGGGCCAGCCAGGGAAAGGGACTTCCTGGCCGCGCTTCTCCCAGAGGGCGGGGCGCCCGGGCACAGGGCCAATCAGGAGCCCTGCGAGGGGGCAAATCCGCATGAGAGACAAAGAGAGAGAGAAGCACAAGTGCCTCTCTCTGTCTCTCTCTACAAATGGCGGAGGACGCTCGGAGCTGCAGGGGAAGGCTCAAAAGTGTCCCTAAAACATCTTGCTCCATCGCCCCCCTATCGCCCCCTTTTTGTTCCATCGCCCCCACGCCGCCCCTTTTCGTTCCATCGCCCCCCTGAAAAATGAAATCGCCCCCTGGGGGGCGGTACCGTCCAGGTTAAGAACCACTGGGTTAAATGATGGCTTGCCACAAGGTTCTGTGCTGGATCCACTACTTTTTAATATTTATACGTCAGATCTACCAGGCACTGCTGCAAGAAAGTATATATGCATTGATGACATTGTGTAGATAAAAAATCTGAGGACTTTAGCCTCTAAAGGACTATAAAAGAAATGGATTTTTTTTTAAATCTGGAGGCTAAAATTAACAAAACCAAAGTCTCCAGTTTTCACTTAAACAACAGACAAGCTAACTATACACCCAAAGTAGATTTAGGAATCAGCTGCTAAAGTTTAATCTTAATGCAAATATTTAGGAGTGACCCTTGACCGGTCCTTAATCTATAGGGAACATTTAAGAAAAATCATGGATAAAATAAAAACCAGGAACAATATTCTACATAAACTTTCTGGCACTAGCTGGAGAGCAAATGCTACAGCTCTTAGGACATCAACTGTTGTTTTGGTATATTTGGCAGATGAGTATTGCAGCCCTGTATGGTTAAATAGTGTTCATACAAAAGCAATGGACACTCAGCTTAATCATACTATGACACTAATATCAGGAACTGTTAAATAAATGCCTTCTGAATGGCTATCAGTACTATTTAACATATCACCCCCACACTTTAGAAGACAATCAGCCTTAAAAAGGGAGTGGCAGAAGTGCAAGGCAAACCAATTATTACCTATATATGAGGACTGTCACATCCAAATACTCAGACTCAAATCTCAGAACTCACCATGGAAATTTGTATAGCAATTAATCAGGGAAGACTTTGATACTAAGACAGCATGACATCAGGAATGCACAACTTATAACCTAGATCTATTTAATTTAGTGCCTGATCCAGTACAATGTCTCTCTGGCTTTGATCTGCCAAGGAAAAATTGGACAATGCTCAATCAGATTTGAACCTACCATGCAAGTGCCAACATTGGAAATAAAATGGGGGTTGTTTAATAACACTAACTGACTGTGGGAACGTCCTGCAAACTTTATATCATATTGCAGTGGAATGCTCTTCAGAAAGTTCCCTTTATCTCTGCAAAAACTACATTATTTCCAGGGCACTGCTGTCCAATGGCTAAATAGATATCCGATTATAGGCTTAGCCATTCTGCATAATTTAATTTTATTCATAATTTTATTCATCATTTGTATTGTGCTTTTTTAAAAAAATTCACTGTACAGGTATTTTATATTTTGATACACATTTTATATGCTATTTTTGTGAATTTTATGTACTTAATGCTTTATTCTGTTATACCATATGAAATAATAAATAAATTCCATTTAGTGTCTTTATCAGGATAAAGAGATAATAGCAAATAAAATGATGTGATTTGAATTCTTTTAAGAAAAATTAAGCAATTTTGGAGTTTTAAAAAAAGATATCCTTAATTGGTTGATTATTGCTAATCTTATCAATGAGTGTCTTATTTATTGATCCTAGGCATTATAATAAAAATCTTGTATATACATTTTAAAATCCATTATAATTAAATATTTCTATTCAGCTATTAATTTTTATTGAATTTAATATCTGCTTTTTATATTTCCTTTAGAATATGGTAAAGCAGAAAGCCCTGAGAGTATTAAAACAGAAACGAATGTAAGTGTCTTACTCTCTAAACATTATGTTCAAACAGATCGTCAATCAGAATGGATAGCAATATGAGTCCTAAGTTGTATTTATAAATAGGCTGCTATCCAGCCATTCTTTTGAACTGGACTTGGGAATAAGATGGGTCGTCACTCATTTTGCATTGACTATTGTATCTTGGTTGCCTCTAACCCAGACATGTCAAATACAAGGCCTGCAGGCTGGGACTGGCCTGGGGAGGGCCCAGATTTGGTCCCCCGGGGCTGCCCCAGCCCAGGCCCACCCCAACCCTGCTGGGCACCCTCCTGGTGCACACATAGGAAACGGCAAGTGCTCAGGTTGGTGGTGCTCAGCAGTAGCTGCAGCTCATTTGCCTCAGCCCGCCCCACCCCTCCCAGCTAATCCCTTCACGCCCAGCCACGTCCTGCTTTGCCGGGCCTCTCCTCATCCGGCTCTGCTTTGCCATGCCTTTCCTTGCTTGGGCCATGGTGTTCTGTAAGCCTAGCGCCCCAGGGCATGCCCGGCCTGTGGGATGAAAGGCACGGAGTTGGGACTGTGCAGTGGCACAAGCCGAGCATCGGCCAGCTCCCAGGCATCCTCTCCACCACATGGTAGGGCCGGAGAGGGAAATGCAGCACTCATGCAGAGCCGCAGCCTGAAACTGTGTGAGCCTCTGTAGCAGCTGGAGAGAAAGGGTGAGAAAGAGGAGAAAGCAGGAAGAGTTTCTGTGTGCGTGTGAGAGAAAGAGAGAGAGCCAGGAGGGGAAGAGGAGGAGAAGGAAGCCAAGGTGTTACAAAAAAGGGGAGCTTTCCCCTTTCTCCCCCCCCTTCTCTTTTTTTTAACCTCCTCCCACTCTGTTCAGGTGCAGCTGGAGGAAAAGGGAGAGAAAGCAGGGAGAGTTTTTGTGTGTGAGTGTGTATGTTTGTGTGTGAGAGAGAAAGAGATTGAGCCAGCAGGGAAGTGAAAATGGGGAACAGGAAGCATTGCAGAGTAAGCAAACTTACAAAAAAGGGATCTCTCTCTGTCTCTCTCTCTCACACACACACATTTGTTTCTTCTGCCTAATTTATTAAATCAATGTCTCATTCGAAATTACATGTTTCTGAGAAATCCAAGGTGGTTTACAAGAAAACTCTCAAAGACAGCTATTGTAAAGTAAAGCATAACCAGCACTGCTTAAAACAATATTAAAAGTGTGTATTTTAAGAAAGAAAATATTAGTAGTAATTTACTTAGTACAGTTTGGTGTTGTCTACATATGCCTGGCTGAACAGTGTGTTTGGAGTTGCCTCTAAACGGGTGAGAGATGCACTGTTCATATTTTTCTTGGGGAAAGTTCTATAATTGGGGTGCTGTCTCTGAGAAGGCTCTGCTTGTGGCCACTGTTCTATAAACCAAACCAGGGGGACCATCTGGTCTAAATGGACGGTAAACAAAGATGATTAGGGGGCTGGAGGCTAAAACATATGACAAATGTTTGTGGGAATTGGGTATGTCTAGCTTAGTGAAAAGGACTTGGGGTGGTGACATGATAGCAGTGTTCCAATATTTGATGGGCTGCCACAGAGAAGAAGAGGTCAACTTATTTTCCAAAGCATCAGAAGGCAATAATAGATGGAAACTAATCAAGAAGAAACCCAGCCTAGAACTAAGGACTTGTGAAAACAACTAACCAGTGAAAAGGCTTGCTTTCAGAAGTTGTGTATGCTCCATCACTGGAGGCTTTTAAGAAGAGATTGGATATTCCATTGTCTGAAAGGGTTTAGGTCCCCTGCTTGAGCAGGGGGTTGGACTAAAGACCTCTGTAAGGCCCCACTTCAACCCACATCTTAAGAAAGCAGAACTCTTGGAAACAATCTCTTCCAACAGGAACTTTTATTAAGAGTAGTTGATAGCAGGCATAATAGACAGGATCTGAGGGATTCCCTTACAGGTTGATGTTTTAAAGTGTCCCTAAGCACCCCACCCCACAGTTCTTCCGGACAATTCAGACCGGCAAATTCCTAGGTGTTAAATCCAGGAAAGATAACATCAATCCGGCTCTGTTGTGCACGATCATTCAACAGCTCTTCACACCTTATTTGATGATGGAGAAATAAACCATATCCCGGAGGTCTGTATCTTTTCACCACCACCCCTTTTCCTAGCTGCCCGGTAAGGAGGAGATGTTCAGAGGGGGCATAGGATAAGAGGTAAATTGTTACATTGTAATGGTTAGCAGATACGAAGGCAAATAAATAAACGATTACTTTGTAGTGAATAGAGGAAGTGAAAGTAATAAACTCGCATGCATATCCCCCCTCTCGCTTGGGAGTATGGCAGGATCCAGGGAAGGGTAAGAATTGGTTTTAGATCAGAGAAGATAGATAGAAAGGAAATATAACTGGATTCTGACAACCTCAAAGGTCTATTCCAACTCTCTTATTCTTTGAGAGAAGCGCTGTCAACCTCTCCCCCTCCCCTCGTCCCTTCCTGGGCACAGAAAGAGGGAGGGAGGGAAGGAAGGAGGGGATGGAAACAGGAAGAAAGGGTAGGAAGGAAGGAGATGGGAATGAAAAGGAGGGAGGCAGGGAAGGAGGGGGAGGGAGGGAGGAAGGAAGGAGATTGGAATGAGAGGGAGGGAGGGTCTGAGGGAAGTCCTGCTTAGCACTTGGCCACCAGCAGCCCTGTTGTCCTTTTGCCATCCCCTGGTGGTCTCCCATCCTATTGCTGAGAATGCTTTGGTTACAAAGCCAGGTCTCCTCACATAGAGAGGGAATGGGCCTCCCTCTGACCCATTCACTTTGCCCTCCTGCACCCACCTTGAGCAACCTAGCCAAGGAGAGCGAGCACAACATTAGCGGTTTTGAGGAGGCTTGACATTACCTTGACATTTTTTGTCTGCTTCAAGACCGGTTTAAGCCAAAGTCATCCTTGATTGATGATTTAGTGCCAGAGAGACCTAATAGGGACCATGACATTTCTGATTTTGCTCCCTCAACCACATTAATTACCACTGGCCCTGTTATTCCTCTATATCAGAATAATACGTCAAGATAAAAGTAAAGAGAAAAAAAAGAATGGAAGGCATAATGAAGTGAGAATTCTTATTCTTCCTGCCAAAGACCTAGATGAAGGGCCAGATTTTTCTGATTCTTCTAAATAACAGCAGAATTGGGGCTATTTGGATATGGGGGGAATCCCAATCCAGAAGGCAAACGCTGCTACAAGAAAAGGCATGCTTCTAGTCTTGAGAGACATTACATGTAACTCCTTGATTTATAACTATTACATGTAAATCCTTGATTTACAACTATTCATTTAGTGACTGTTCAAAGTTACAGTGGCACTGAAAAAAGTTAGTTGTGACCATTTTTCCTACTTATAGTTGTTTCAGTATCCCTGTGGTTATGTGATTAACTTTTGGACACTTGGCAACTGGCATGTATTTATTACAATAACAGTATCCCATGATAATGCGATCAACTTTTGCCATCTTCTGATAAGCAAAGTCAATGGGGAAGCCAGATTGACTTAACAGTCATGCTAGTAACTTAAGAACTGCAGTGATTTACTTAATAACTGTGGCAAAAAAGGTAAAATGAGGCAAAACTCACTTAACAACTGTCTTGATTAGCAATGGAAATTTTGGACTCAATTGTGATCATAAATTGAGGACTATCTGTATTTAATAGTAGGAACCCAGAGCATGCCACCCCTGCAGGACTGAACATGTAGATGCTATGCAAAATAGGTGGTCCTTCAGGTAACCAAGCCCTATGCCATTGAGTTCAAATGCAAATTGGAACCAGTACATCTTCCCCAGCTTGGGCATTTAGGAAAGAAAGACCTTTGACTCCATTTACGGAGAAAAAGTATTCTTTTACAAAAGCCAAGTGGATACAGCATGAGCAAAACCAGATCTGAATATTCCCACAGAAATCCTATGATTTTTCCTTTTTTCAGATCCTCCCCCTTGGTCATTTGGTCAGTGTCCAATAGTATTCAAATTAGGTGTTTTGGTAACAGTTCTAAAGTTTGGTGCCTCTGGTGGGTGCTTGTATTCAATTCTCATACTTGTGTCCTTAGATCTCTCATCTGTTGTTTCTGGTTGGTACATCTGATTCCTGTCATCCCACTCTTAAGCTTTCCCACACTATTTCCCCTTCTCTTTTATGGCAGGATGCCATCAATGCAAAGCGAAGCTGAAGCAATCTGGCATTCTGCGCCCCTTTGAAAAAGAGGCTTAATCCTGAAAAAACAGAAAAATTAGAGAAATGTTTAGAGTGGCATCTGGGTTTCAATGAGGTTTGTCGGGTATTTGTTATGGAATTTGCGAAGAAGTTGGGGAGCTTTGACATGTTGGGCATCAACTCATTTAGTTTCGGAAGGGGCAAAGACTTTCCATGATATCAAGTACTGCATTTTCCCTCTATGTTTGTAGGAGTTTAAGATTACTTTGACTTTGAAGTGTTGTTCTCCTTCAATAAATACAAGGATTAGAGGTGGCCCTTTTGTGGATGCAAGGGGGAGGTGATTGCTGGTTTCAACAAGCTGTAGTGGAAGACTGGATGGATGCATCAAGGTTTTGGGAAATCTAATTGCACTATTATGAAAAAAGGTCCAATGTACTTTGATCAAAGTTTTTTCAAGGGTTGTCAAGGTATTTGATAGACAGGTAGATTTTGTCACTGATGTTAAAGTCTTTCAGTTTAATCCATTTTTTATCAGCCTGCTTCTTATAGTTTTCTTGTGCTTCTGCCAGAGTTTTGCTCACCACCAGCCACATGCTTTTAGTGCATTGATCCATTCTGTTAGGGATAGATTTGGGGGGGAGTGACCTGGGGTAGCTCCAGCATGGCTACGAAGTCCTGACCTGTGGCCACTTGGAATGGCATAGTGGTATAAAGCCTGTGCTTCTGTATATTACATTGTGAAGGGGAGGTCAACCCAGTCGTCCTGTTGGTAATTAATGTAACATTGAAGGTACTGTTCTAGAATGCCATTCTCATGTTCACAGTCTCCATTCA